AGATGGCCGCCGGTATAATTTTTTTTTTTAAAATCAGAAATAGATCATTTTAGCAGTATGTTTTTCATGTTTTAATTCATTGAAGAAGAAAAAAATTATTATCAAAAAAAAAAAAAAAAAAAAATAGGAGGCGGCCCCCCAAAAAAGGAAGTGGGCGGGATGCTAAACATGTATATTTTTTTTTACTTGGCCTCAAGGTTACTTATCCCCAACCACCCAAGGGGGCTGGGGAATCCACATTGGCTGGGTTAAATTAGGGCAAGGCTCTCTACAAGATAAAGGATAAAAACGACAGGAAATTTGCATATATACTTCATGGTGTTTAAGTGTTTTTACTGAGAGGTTGAACACTAGTTGTCTCTGAGCATTTAATCCTGATTTCTGATGCATCTATGTTGTCTATGTTGACATTCACACAAATGTCAAGGTGTGTGTGTTAGATAGGAGGAAAATGAGAAAAGGCAGGTCTGACTTTGGGAAGCAACAAGATTGAAGACAAGAAATAGTAAAACAGTCCAACAGAAGAGAGATAGAAAGGGACAGAGATAGAGACAGACATGGGGGGGGGGTAGGTGTGGGGGTATTGAATACAGATCCATTTGATCAAATTAAAAGTTAGTGTTTGGAAGTGAGCAATTCTGAAATATTATTCTTTGATATGTTGCATTAAAAACATAACAATTAAGTATATCAGGGAACTGTTGTTGTAAAGTAGCTCTAATCATCTCTCCTTAATTTTGTTCTTCTTCAAATATAGAATGTTTTAAGACTTGATACAAAAAAAAAAGAGTTTTTTAAATGAAGAAGAAATTTTGACTCGCTGTGTAAACATGGAATCATTGTAAACAAAAACGCACTTTCTAACATAATTTCCTTTATTCAGCTTGTGTTTATTTTTGTTTGGGGTTTCTATGCTCATGATTCCTTTTGTGCTATTTATGAATGGCTTTGGATAACATAAGAATCAAGTATCTATACTGAGGTCCAGGATTCACAACACCTGTAGAGCGTATGTGTTCTCAGCCAGAATGATACGATTACAGTCTGCTCTCTTTGATTTCCATCCCTCCCTCCCCTGGCAGAAGAAGAGAGAAATTAGGCCTGTCCTCATCAGCTCGAGGTTGTCAAATATCCCGCTATTTGAACTATCCCTATCGTAAATTATCCAGTTAATTTGCGTCCTCATCAGCCCGAAGTTGCAATTAGCGAGATATTTGGTCGAGATAATCATCCCACGATATCTTGGGCTAGTTTGCCAAATATTCTGCTATTTGTCTGGTGCGTCTTCACTAGACCGAAGACTCGCACTATGCGCGAACGCTGAGCGTAAAATTTTTTGAGCTGATTTCTCGAGCTCGATTTTCAAGTTTCAAGGTCAAGTCTCGAGCTGATGAAGAGGCGATTTGTAACTTCGGGATCATTTCCCAAATCAGAAATAGCGGGCTATTTGGCAATCTCGAGCTGATGAAAACAGGCCTAGAGAGACGTTGCTCCTCTCAACACCATCACCAAGCATCAGACCCCTACCTGCCGTAGTCTCTAATCAGCCGTGATCAATCACATGCAGTATGCACCCTAGGAAAAAATTAGAGAGCTGGAAATAGAGAGATAGAGGGAAAAATCAATTAATTTGGCTCGAGAAGAGTATGGTAGAATAAAGAAGGGTCAAGATTGAAAGATGAAAGAACACAACTGCAAACCATTGAAGGTGTAGAGACTATAGTTTTGACGAACGGTTTCCCCTTTTAATCCTGTACATCAGGACGATACAGTTTCCATGGATATTAACAGGTTATTTTAAGATATTCCAATAATGCGAGAGAAATTGGTAGAGCCAACTCCTCAAAAACTGTGTAACATCTTTTTCATGTATACAGTATTTTTGTTGACTTTATCATTTCGTTGCCTTTTCTACATGCTCTCAATAAACCTTTGAACCTCTCCACACTTTATTCCTTTGACATACTCATCTCTTTTTTGAAGATCTCTGCGGAATGAGTAGACATTTAGAAATACACCTATCCTGAAAATTATTGATGAGATAGGTATACTGAAGGAAAATCAAGACTATACTATTTGGTAAACGTGGCGAGGTGTAAAAGTTAATTGACTGCATATTCAACATCATGATAGAGATTCAAAAATATGATCAATATGGATTTGAAAGTGGCAGTGGCAAATACAAAGAATGAAAATGTAAATATTACATATATATATCCCCTTCTTAAAATGTAGATTATTTTGTATCCAGAGTGTTTGAGATCTCTGATATGATTAGAATGGATTTGAGGGTTGTTTCTGTGAATACAAAGAATCAGGGCATAGACATCGGATATTTTCTCTTCTCTTCTCCCCCCCCCCCCCCCCCCCCCCCTCTTCTTTCATGCATCTTCAAGTTTTGACCGTCTTGATTCAAAGGCATGAGAGCTCTCAGAACGTCCTTGTAAAGACAAGCTAAAACCAATGTTGCGGTGAACAGAATTTGCACATCAAAGGTCATGTTCCATCAATTAACAGATTTGTGGTCTATGGTGGCCTGCATTTACAAACCAAGCAAGCCAAAGAGAAAACCTGACAAGTGGTGTATTAGGAGGATGATACATGGCTTATTTTGAAGAAAAGTCCTCCTGGGACTACGTTTGTAGATGAAGTAAATGTAGTATATGGTATGGTGGCCCTGAAGGGACATCGCGAATAGACTAATCGTGAAAAATATGCGATAAAATTCACGATATCGTCAATTTTATCGCATATTTTTCACGAAGAAATTCACGAAATTGACGATATCGTGAACTTTATCGTGAACTTTTCACGATGAAATTGACGATATCGTGAATTTTATCGTGAAAAGTTCACGATATAAAGTTCACGATATCGTCAATTTTATCGTGTACTCTATCGTGTACTCTCCTGACGGGCGCTTCGTAAACAAAACCAGCCCTAGCTGGGGGAGACAGAGAGAAGGAAAAAGGGAAAGGGAAAGAGAAGATAAAAGGAAAGAAAGAATAAGAAGAAGAAAAGAGGGAAACGGGGGGGGGGGGGGGGGGGGCGAAGGGCTCTTGACTCCTCCTCACTCCCCCCCCCCCCCCCCCCCGCCAAAAATAAATAAGGAGAGAGAGAAGGGAAAGGGAAAGGGAAAGAAAATATAAAAGGAAAGAAAGAAGAGGAAGAAGGAAAGAGGGAAACGGGGGAAGGGCGAAAGGCTCTTACCTCCCCCCCCCCCCCCCGCCAAAAAATAAATAAGAGAGAGAGAGAGAGAGAGAGAAGGGAAAGGGAAAGAAAGAAGAGGAATAAGAGGGAAACAGGGGAAGGGCGAAGGGCTCTTGCCTCCTCCCCCCCCCCCCCAAAAATAAATAAGAGAGAGAAGGGAAAGGGAAAGAAAATATAAAAGGAAAGAAAGAAGAGGAATAAGAAGGAAAGAGGGAAACGGGGGAAGGGCGAAGGGCTCTTGCCTCCTCCCTCCCCACCCCCCGCCAAAAAAATAAATAAGAGATAGAGAGAGAAGGGAAAGGGAAAGGGAAAGAGAAGATAAAAGGAAAGAAAGAAGAGGAAGAAGAAGAAGAAAAGAGGGAAACGGGGGCGAAGGGCTCTTGCATCCCCCCGCCCAAAAAATAAATAAGAGAGAGAGAGAGAGAAGGGAAAGGGAAAGAGAATAAAAAAGGAAAGGAAGAAGAATAAGAAGAAAAGAGGGGCTCTTGCCTCCTCCCCCCTCCCGCGCCAACAAATAAATAGGAGAGAGAGAGAGAGATAGAGAGAAGGGAAAGGGAAAGGGAATGAAAATATAAAAGGAAAGAAAGAAGAAGAAGACGGAAAGAGGGAAACGGGGGAAGGGCGAAAGGCTCTTACCTCCCCCTCCCCCCTCCCGCCATAAAGGGAAAGAGAAGGGAGAGGGAAAGAAAATATAAAAGGAAAGAAAGAAGAGGAAAAAGAATAAGAAAAGAGGGAAAGAAGGGCAAAGGGCTCTTGCCTCCTTTCTTTTCTTTCTTTTCCTTTCTTTCCTATTCTCCCTCTTTTTCGTTTTTCTCTTTCTTTCTTCTCTTTCCCTTTCCTTCTCTCTCTCTCTCTCTCATTTTATTTTTTGGCGGGGGCGGGGGACGAGGCAAAAGCCCTTTGCCCCCGTTTCCCTCTTTTCTTCTTCTTCCTCTTCTTTCTTTCCTTTTATCTTCTCTTTCCCTTTCCCTTTCCCTTCTCTCTCTCTCTCTGATTTATTTTTTGGCGGGGGGAGGGGGGGGCAAGAGTCCTTCGCCCTTCCCCCGTTTTCCTCTTTTCTTCTTCTTCCTCTTCTTTCTTTCCTTTTATCTTCTCTTTCCCTTTCCCTTTCCCTTCTCTCTCTCTCTCTCTGATTTATTTTTTGGCGGGGAGGGGGGGGGGGGGGAGTGAGGAGGAGGCAAGAGCCCTTCGCCCCCTCCCCCGTTTCCCTCTTTTCTTCTTATTATTCTTTCTTTCCTTTTATCTTCTCTTTCCCTTTCCCTTTTTTCCTTCTCTCTGTCTCCCCCAGCTAGGGCTGGTTTTGTTTACGAAGCGCCCGTCAGGAGAGTACACGATAGAGTACACGATAGAGTACACGATAAAATTGACGATATCGTGAACTTTATATCGTGAACTTTTCACGATAAAATTCACGATATCGTCAATTTCATCGTGAAAAGTTCACGATAAAGTTCACGATATCGTCAATTTCGTGAATTTCTTCGTGAAAAATATGCGATAAAATTGACGATATCGTGAATTTTATCGCATATTTTTCACGATTTAGTCTATTCGCGATGTCCCTTCAGGGCCACCATAATATGGGAACACCCTTTCCATTTCAGATTTGTCTTGTGCTTAATCTTTAAAAGAGACAAACTTGTATTCTTGGTGGCGATCTCACAAAGCTTTTTTTCTTCTTCAGATGTCAGATTGGTAATTCATTTCTAACTGCTGTTTTGTTTTTGTTTACCTTCCTCACTTGTTCATCTTTATTAGCTTGCAGTCTTTTATTTTAAATATCTTTTCTTTTGATCTTGTTTGCTTGTTTCTCTAGGCCATGGTGGGACATCATCCTTTTATCATCCAGATATACAAGTCATGGCAGAGCAAAATCAACTTACATATAGGTAAGCATTATTCAGATGCTTTGATGAAAACAAAACAAAACAAAATATATAGAGTTCCGTAATATTTTCAACTTTGATAGCACATGCAGGAAAACAAGTTTCTCCATGAAGCAAAGGAAACGTAATAGGACATTTTGTGCTTCACACACAGATAAGAGAGTGTTGTTAGGGGCCTTTTTTTTCTCTTCCTCACTTGCCATTTATTTAGAGGCAAAACTTTTTAATTTGGAAGTTTTTTTCTTCCAGTTGTGTTACTTTTGTTAACATAGTTTAAGAGTGAAACCATTAATAACAATAATAATAATAATTCCGCTTTTATATAGCGCTTAATACAAATGTCTCTAAGCGCTTTACAGATATACTATTACCCCGGTCATTGGATTCAATACTTGCCCACACACACTGTGTGCACAATCTCCACTCCCTGGGGAGCATTCTGTCTACTCTGTTTGCATATATTGTCTTACAGTCGTGGAGTTTGTTAACATAGTTTAAGAGTGAAAGCGTTAATGTCTATTCTGTGTGCATATGTTGTCTTCCAGTGATGGAGTTTGCAACCCATGGTGATCTCTACACACTATGGATCTTAGAAGGAGTCTTCACTGAGATGGCCGTCTGCATCTTCATTGCGGAACTCTCGATGGCGCTAGACTACCTTCAGAATGCTGGTGTCATATACAGAGACCTAAAGGTATCCCTCTTGGGTTCAACCCCTTGTAGCTATCTCACTTCCATTTCATGTCCATTGATAATGATAATACAGTCAAACCTGCTTTAGTGACCACCTGTCTACAAAGACCACCTGTCTACAAAGGCCACATTTGTTGTTTCCCTTAAATGGTTTCTCATTGAATCATGTACTAAAGGAACCTGTCTACAAAGGCCACTTTTTGTGTTTCCCTTGGGCGGTCGCTATAGACAGGTTTGACTGTAATAAACATGGTTTCTTGTATAGTACTCATGTCTCTTTATAGATTTCACACTCCAGGGGGGGGGGGGGAGTTTCACAAAGATCCTAAGTTCAACTTATCTCTAAGTTGGACTTAAAAATTATGGAAAGCCGTTAGCACCTACAAAAGTATTTTGTAAAAGTTATTTTAAAAGGCATAAAATGTCTCGGGACAACTTATATCACCCCCCCCCCAAAAAAAAAAGTACTTCTGTAAATATTGTCTAGCATTGTCTGACGTAAATTGTCAGTATGATGTTTTGCGTGGCATCACTGCATGCAGTGTAAAAACATTGGAGAGGAAAGCTAAAGTAGTTCTTACATCAAAAGAGCTGTGGTAAAAACAACAAAGTCAGTCTAACATATTTTCTTGTCTGTTTTGTTTGGTCAGATGGAGAACATTCTGCTGGACCAAGAGGGACACATCAAACTGACCGACTTTGGCCTTTCAAAATGGATGAAGAAAGGAAACCGGGCATCAACGATATGTGGCACATTACAGTACATGGGTAGGTACCTGGATTGTTTTGTAGGTATACCTAAATGTATTTTGTGAGTATCATACAGCAATTCTTCTCATCAGTGATACAAGGTAGCAGAGAGTGGTTTAGCTTTGGAAAAATGTGAAGGAAATATTTATTTTGTATTGATAAAAGTTTAAAAAAAGCTTGTGTAAGCAGAAAAGTCAAACAGTTACATCTATAAACATAGCATTTCTGATTCAAGTACTCGAAGGGGGCACTGAGGAGACCAATTTTATCCGCAGTGTGTAATGTGAACTTAAAAACATGTTATATTAGGTAATCATATGATGAATAACATGGCACACTTTAAAGTGTTATAAATATTGATGATGAAACAGATGGTGTTTGAATCAGAGTGTGTCACATGGTCATAGTACATGATTTTCACATGGGTGACAAAATTCAGAATTCTAAAGTTAGTGCTCCTGATGTGTGGAACTGTTCCTGACTTGTCTGCTTCAAGTTCTTCATTTTCAATGGTGGAGATAAAACATCAAACTCAAATCAACATCAAAATCATTCATAATCATTGGCCTTCTAGAAATGGTGTGATATAGAGTGGAAGATTCTATACGTGCAATGAGGTGCATGAAATGATTACCTTATTTGGGAGCTACATGTAGCTAGCTGTAAATTGGGCAAATTTCCTATGTTCTAGCCTGTGGCTAGTTATTCAAGCACATATACCAGGTTATTGAGCATAGGTGAGAGTGAAGATACAGAGATGGATGAAGGTGGGGAGAGAGAGAGAGAGAGAGAGAGAGAGAGAGAAAGAGAGAGGAAGGGAGGGGGAGGGGGCGGGGAGGGGGCGGGGAGGGAGGGAAGGAGTGGAGAGGGGGGGATATGGAGAAAGAGAATGAGCTGAAGAGTGACAGAGACATAAGGGATATTGAATAAAGGAAGAAAAAAATTAATGGAGGGAGATGGAGTAGTATGATTAGGAAGAGAGAGAGAGAGAAAAAAGGTTTTAGGAGAAAGTGGGGAGGGGGAGGGGGATGAGTATAAGATAAGATGTATGTGAGATGACTAGTTGTGAGAATCAAAGAGAAACAGAGAGAACAAAGAATGGAAGTATCAAGAAGATGGTGATAGAAACAGGAAATATACATGGAGACAGAAAGACAAACTAAACTTATCTTGCAAATTAAAAAGAAATGGAGGATATCATCTGCAGCGCAAGAAAAAAAAATGTAAAATAGTTTTTGACTTTCCTGCCATCCAGTCCTTTGGTGAGAAGAGATTCCCTTCATCCCCTCCTTAGCTCTTTAAAGACTCATGATGAATGTTAATACCCAAGAGGGAATACAGGTGTACAGGGTAACATGAAAATGACATAGCATTTTACAAGACATGGGTGGAGTAATGTTCAGGATATGTCAAATGACTGTGACATACCTTTGATTTGATGGATATTGTGAAATCATGACTTGTCGATTTACGATTCACTCAAGACCTCTTTCTGTACAGCTACCTTAAGATCTCTAATAGAGTATAGGTTAGTCGTGACATTCTGCATCATATACAAAGGATATAACTCAAAGGTTTAATCTTGTCCTTCTTGAATCTTCTTCTTGTAACACATCATATGGATCTATACAACATAAAATGCTATGGCAGTATTGAAAGGGTTAATCAATAATGACAAGAATATTTCCCAGGAAGTTGTTCATCCATCAAATTGATTCCTTACTGACAGAACATTTGTCCTTTGGTTTTCTTTCTTTGTTTGAAAGAGAGAGGTTTGGAAGTGAAAAAGCCCTCCAGCAGATAGATACATTTGTGACAAGGATCTTTGTGTAAAGTCAAGTAGAGGAAGAGTGAGGGGCTTGATGGGTTGAAAGGGAGTGGAGAAGATTGATGAAGAGAAGAAGAGTGCCAGGTAAAATATTACAATGCTTAGAAAGCTCATTATTAAGCGCTTTATAAATATTACTATCATAAGTATTATTAACAGAAAACAGAATGAGGTTGTCATAGAAGAAGTTAAGTCACACATTTCTGGTAGTGTCAGGAAGAAGATGAACAAGGAGAGATACAATCAGAAAGGGGAAAGATTGGAAAAATGACATCAAAGAGAAAAGAGTGGGAAAATAAGACATCGAAGAATGGAAAGAGAAAACAATATGAGATTAAGAAATGATTTTGTTGATGTAGTAAAGGTATTGATCATATTATTCAAAGTGATATAGGTATGCCAAGAAACACATTAGTGAATGAAGAAGAAGTATTACTTAGCAGCAGAGCAGTAGCAGCAGTAGTGGTATAGATGGGAGGTAGTGGTGGTAGTAGGAGATCTAGCAATAGCAATAAAAGCATGAGAAATAAACAGAAAAGTCCTGTCAAAAGATGAAAAAAGGGGCATCTTTAGAATGTTTTCTTTCCATCAAATCGTCTTCTCTTCCTGTCGAACTTCCTACCTTTTGAACGTCCTTGCCACTTGAGCTAGATACACCTTTTAGTAGCAGCTGCTATTACCTAGTCCATGTCTTAATGCTTCATATGTCCCCCTGGCAATCAGCTAATGTATTATACTACTTAAAGGCCTTAGGCCTGGTTTATCTTGTCTGTGGATGCTGGTGAGTGAGAGGGATGGAGGGAGAGAGAGAAAGAGGGAGGGAGGGAAGGGGAGGGGAGGGGAGAGAGGGAGGGAGGGAGGGAGGGAGGGAGGGAGGGAGGGAGGGAGGGAGGGAGGGAGGGAGGGAGGGAGGGAGGGAGGGAGAGAGAGAAAGAGGGAGGGAGGGAAGGGGAGGGGAGGGGAGAGAGGGAGGGAGGGAGGGAGGGAGGGAGGGAGGGAGGGAGGGAGGGAGGGAGGGAGGGAGGGAGGGAGGGAGGGAGGGAGGGGAGGGAGGGAGGGAGGGAGGGAGGGAGGGAGGGAGGGAGGGAGGGAAGGGAAGGGAAGGGGAGGGGAGGGGAGAGAGAGAGAGATAGAGAGAGAGTGCTCAGTGGTGTTATATCCTTCCATTGTAACAATGGCGAGCTTTTATTTTAATTTAAAGGTATTGTGTAACTAATCATTCTTCAAGTGAAAATGAAAATGTTTGTATTGTGGGAATTTCTTGTAGAAAACCCTGGATAATTTATTGGAAATTTTCTAGAATAAAAGAAATGTTATTGGTAGATTTCTGAATGGAATTAACCTTTCACTTAGAAATGTTGAATTATTACCTTTAATGTTCTGTCAAAATTTTCCCAGGTGCACTTGGATCAATATTTCACCATCAGACCATTATCTCTAAATCATGATGGAGTAGGGGCACCTATTTAATGGGTGATAGAAAAGACATTCTCTGACGCTCTGAATATTATTGAATTGATCAGGAGTCTCTGAAGTGACAGATATTTTCACTCAAAGGAGATGAATGTTTCCCTCAATGTTCTTTGACTATTTCCCCCGGTGTGCATTGATCATTATTTCAACGTCAGACCTTTATCTCTGATTCATGACAGAGTATGGAGCACTTTCTCATTCTTTGTAATGGATGATAGAGAAGAGATTGTCTGTCTGTCTGCCCAGAGATTCTACATATCATTCAGCTATTCAGGAATGTTGTATGTTACATGGAGAGGAAATCCAGCTGTGTTAGCTTGCTGCTTTGAAAGAGAGCAGAATAATCAGAGAAACAGATTGGTGGAGTTTAACAAAAAAAATGATACATGTAAGCAACCAGAAAATGATGAATTATTGAAATTTTAGATCAGCTTTAACATACATGTGATACATACCCATTATACAGATGATACACTCCAATTTCTTGTAATGACCAATGCTAGAACGATACCTATACATTGTATGAACACAGTACTATTGGTAACCCCTTGATACATGATAGGTGATGCAATCCAATTATCACTGCATGATTCATGTTGAGATGATGACTGTGGTCTGTGTGTGCAGGTGAGGTGATTCATTTCTCGTCATGTCTTTTTAAAGGAAATCTTCAGCTCTGGTAAATGAAACTATTCTGAGAGATATTGAAGAAGTTATTTTTTACTTGATGTGTTGATCATGAATTGGATTGTTTATTTGTAGGTACTTTTGAGATCTTCTGATTAAACTTGTCATAAAAAATATTTTTACAAATCATTCTCATTTCGTTCATGTACTCAATTGTTTTTAAAATGTATTTCTTACTTCTGGTAAATGAAAATATTCCAGAGAAGAAATCTAAGAAATTAATCTCAATTGTTAAACATTTATTTGACCTTTAAATAGTCTAACGAGACAAATTCCAAAACTTGCAGAAAAGACGCACACTGAAAAGTGGAAAAAATATGACCAGGCAAACAAATGTTTGAATTAATGTTGATCTTTGCTTGGTATAATAACATTCATGTGATCTGATCAATGCAGATACTTGGAAATTGTCATCAGCAAATTGATTATTGATTGCAAACCCAAATAAATGACTGAACTTGTGAGAGAGGAGCAACATATTGTTGAATTCATTATGTTGTGTGTCCCACCAGATTCATTAGCTAATGCATTTGACCTGGATAGTACAGTTGTAAATATTCACCAAAGGGAACAATATTTGCAGATCTCTCTAAATTTCATTTATTCACTCAGAGTCTAGTGTCCTTAATGTCCTCTCTCTCTCTCTCTCTGTCTGTCTCTCTCTCTCTCTCTCTCTCTCTGTCTGTCTGTCTGTCTCTCTCTCTCTCTCTTTATCTGTCTGTCTGACTCTCTCTCCCTCTCTCTCTCTCTCTCTCTGTCTCTGATCTATAGTTTTGTCAGTCTCATCTCCCTAATCTCAGTGCTCTTTCCCTCTTTCTTCCATTCGCTTCTATTTCAGCCTTTCTCTACTATTATTCATCTAAGGTTACAATATTTTACATTGCATTTTGACCTAAAAGCAAAATCTCTTTATACAGACATGGTGCTGGTATTCAAATGCTGTACATTATATTTGCAGCTAAAATGCAAAGTCTGTTCTTCTAGAACTCAATATTAATCTTACAATTTCTTACATTCCAAGCTATGATTTTCAAAATTGATATGTGATGCAAAGCTTTTAGAATCATTCTTTAAAGGTGCTATTTATTATTGTAAAATGATTGAGAAATTGGTTGAATTGTTTTGAAATCATTTTATCATGAAATACAAGAAAATAAAACAGACAACTTTAAGAATATGATCAATATTTTAGTGAATGGGAAATTAATAATTATTAATTATCAAAAAGTTTAGAAATACTTTCCAAGGAATTTCATACCTTTGTCACTTCCCATAATCTTAGTCCAATCGCTTGACTTTTTAATCATGTATTTTCAAAATTAATTTAGATAGTACCTTTAAAAAAATTATGAGTTGGTGCGAGATATTCAGATGCATAAATCCACACATTACCTTTAAACTTTAAAATCACAATCACTCTGTACCCGAGGGGAGGGTTTAATGTTACCCTTCATCTTGGTGGGAAACATTCTTGCTGTTAAGTGAGCATGCATTCCCATTAATATGTAATATCTCTGCAGGCCAAGAGTAACATGAGCGTCAGGGCTCACTCACACTAGTCCTTATTCTCACTCCTTTTGTCAGCCTCAAAAGGAGCATTCACACAAACTTCATTCCTAATTTGACGAAAATCTTCCAAGTTTGTGTTTTCTTTTTATATTAACAGAGAGCCCTGAACCTTGATTGCATTTAAATGGAAATACATCTCACATGATGGGGTCATGACAATTTCCTTGCCCCCCTCCCGTCCCCCCCCCCCCCCCCCATGTTTGACTGATGTATGAATGATTGTCACATTTAGTGAGAACCTTGAGTTGTCTTGCTTAGTTACATACCGGTACTCTTTTAACTCATAACATACTAAGCCTGGGATGACTTGAGCTGGGGTCTATGGAAGATGTGTGTTTTTCCAAAATCTAATTGGATTTAATGGGTTACAAGTAATGTAATATCTCTCCAGGCTAAGATATACTCTCATGAAAGTAATATTTACATTGGATATGATGATTTCATCACTCTTTCCCCTAGATCTTTAAAAAAAAATGTTCCAGAGCTCTTTTGATGTTATCCACCGCAAAATTGTTTGTTGTTCCATCGTACTCACTTCTTTTTTCTTCTTCATTGTCTTTAATTGAATAATAAGGAGCATTTTCAAAGCATACACATACTTCTTCTAATGTACACTCAACTGTTATTGCCAGTTGTTATTTGGATTTTACGTATCTAGCAAGTATAATTCTATGTGGTTGATGGCCTTTTGCATTTCCAGCAGGCGCTTGGGTGTCAGTGTGGGGTTTGAACCCTTGCCAGGTGCTATATCAAGCGGTTGCTGTGATCATACCATGGTGTACTGTTTCCCAGTGTTGATTAAAAGAGCTCCATGTCTTGGCTGCTTGCCTGTTCATGGTAATAATAGTTTCAAAGCCCTTGGGAAACCTGAAACCCTAGAATGTTGCGAACGTGTGACCAAATAGTGGCGTTAGATTTCAAAGAACGGCTTCATGTAAGAAAGGAAAAGGGTTTAATGCAAAGCTATAGACCAAAGAGATTAGATGAGTTATTATTGTCTCTAATACTCCAATTTAATCTAATAAACACAATAAAGAACATTGTCATTGAAACTTGAAATTTTGATTCCTAAATTATTTACATTCAATTAGGAATGTGTATTTTATGGTTGTGGAGTTTGAAAATTGTTTTTCATGCCACGAGTGCCCTCTTTTTTTTTTTTTTTTTGTTAGGACAAAGAAGGGTTGAGACATGTCCTTAAACCTTTTTCCAAAGACAAGCTGCAATCAAATAATCAGTAAGAAAAAAAAAAATTTCCGCGTTAAATTATCTTTTTATATTCTTGTATTTTTTTATGGTAAGCTTCAGAAATCAGAATTGAGGATAGAGAGAGACTAAGTACAGGAGCATGTGTAGAATGGTATTACTGTCAAGTTATTGTATGATCATACTTCAAACTCTTACATTTCTTTTCACCAATACGCATATTTATCTTCATTTATTTTTGTATCTTTTCTCCAGCTCCAGAAATCCTAAACGAGGAGAACTACACACATGCTGTTGACTGGTGGTCGTTAGGTATCATCATGTACACACTCCTGACTGGCGGTTACCCTATAGATGGCGCTAAAACACATTTTACTATGTATAGTAGAGTTCTTGCCAAGAAATACGTTCTACCTTCTAGTATAAGCAGTGAGGCTTGTGATGCTCTGGATAGGGTGAGTCAGATTTCTCTTGATTAGATCCTGAGTCTTATTCCCCATCACCTCTTCATTTGTTTACCTTTCTCTTCCCTTTCCCCCATATCTCTTTTCCCCCTTTATTTTTATTTCTTCCCCCCCCCCCCCCTTATTTTTATTTTGTTTCCCCCCTTTATTTTGTTTCTTCCTTTTCCCCCTTTATTTTTCTTTTCTTTTCCCCCTTTATTTGTATTTGTATTTTCTTTCCTAGTGCTCTAATAATTTCATCTGTGCCCCCCCCCCCTTGTTTCCCTTTCTTTTACCTTCTCTCTCCCTCAATTCTGCTCAGGGGAACATGTTCTTTTAGATTGTAAGATGTGTTAGCCTAAACTGAACACTCCTGCAGACAAGATGTAATGTCCTTTAGCAAGACATTAATCTACATTTGCCACTCTCCACCCAGATGTAACTGGGTACCTGATAGGATGTGAGCACCACATTTGGTAGACCTTGTGTAGTTGGTATGAGCACTAAACAAATATCCAATATTATTACTGGGGGGTGTTTCACAAAGATCCTAAGTCAAACTTAACTCTAAGTTGGACTTAAAAGTTATGGAGAGCCATTTGTCGGCTTAAAATATAATATATTCAAAAGCAAAAATTCATGTATTTTAGACTTTTCATAAATTCCACGTCAAGAACATGAAATCTCCTTGATAATAGAAAATATGAATGATGTGAATCAACGTTTTATGCCTTTTAAAGTAACTCTTGCAAAATATTTTCAAAGATGCTGATGGCTTTCCATAATTGTTAAATCCAACTTAGAGTTAAGTTTGACTTAGGATCTTTTTGAAACACCCCCTGGTGTGGTTGATATGAGCACTAAACAAATAACCAATATTATTACTGATATTATTATTATCACCTTGCTCTTCCTTTGTGTTCCTGTCTACAGTTACTCAGGAAAGACCCCAATGACAGACTGCAATCCTTAGGGGAGATCGTCCATCTAGATTTCATCAAGAACATCTCATTGGAGCAGTTGGTACGACGGGAGATCACCCCCAAAGACTACCTGAAGAGAAGGTTACCCAGGACTTTAGCTAGGAAGTCAACCAACAAGAAGGGCAGGGAGTTTCTCTATGATAAGATACCATGTGACTTTACTGTGAGTATCTTCAAGAGTTCTATGAATTTTTGTCAAATCAAAGAAAAGTTTGTAGTTAGCAGAATTTTCAATTAACCCTAAATATCCCCAGATTTTTTAAATATTTTGAGGTCAACTTCAGAATAATTACTCCGAAATGAGTAAAGAAGTATGGCCCCTAATCAATGATTGCAGTGAGATATTTATGTGAGGGTCATCATTTTAGCTCTTAGGCAATTCATTTTAGTTGGCTTTGTTATGAATCTCTTATCTGTTATTAAAGGCATCGTATAATAATGTTAAATCAGAGATGCACGGCCCTACGTGTTATCAGTGTCTGTGATATGGTGTAATATTGAAGCCCTAAATAAATTGCGCTTCAAAATGATCATGAAGTGCCTCTTGACCGGTTGAGTGTGCGGTTTTACCATACTCGTTTTCCCCAATAGACTAGTGTTATGACAACGCAAAATTTGATTTCGATTTACAATCATAAATATTTTAATAATCAGACAGGCGATCGGCTTGTAAAAGTCATGGGATTCCTGACTGACCTAAAGGTTTATAATTATGATTGCAGCATGAGCTGAATCCAGGATTTTGTTTCAGCATCTGAGGCAATGTTCCGAGTCACTTTAGTTATCAATGTTGTGTACTCTCTCTCTACTTCTTTTGGACTTACACCAGTAAGGCTCATTCAGATATGAGCTCTGGAAAACCATTGTAAAAAATACATGTGTAATTGGATGGCAACTGCGTGCATTAACAGACCTACGTGTGTTTTTTAAGATATAGGAATGTGAAGCATACTACACCCATGTCATTATAAATAAAAATGCTTTGGCAGTTTACCATCTCAGACCTGAAAAGCGTAGCTAAAATTATTCACTGTTTGCTTTTGTACTTCTACAGGTTGACAATTTTGAGTGGACTCGAGTAACCCAGTTATAGTACCAAAGAAACTTGAGACAGACTGGTGATCTCATCAAGAGCAGCTGCCATGAAATGAAACCTTCTTAAAGGGACACATCAGAAGAAGTACCTTGATAAAAAGAACAGTATTCTGACTGACAGGATGGAAGAGGAATCCATCTTGGAAGTCTACCGATGATGTCTGAGTTTTGTTTCGTCAAAGGCGGAGGTGATCGATGTACGATCGTTACTGAACGATCAGGATGACTGGTTAGAGTGATATCGCATGCAGGGTTGTCGTTGATGTCCACAGCGATAGCATGGGCATATTCATTATTCAGGAAAGCATGCGAAGCAGCTGCCTGATCATGTTGAGAAGGATCATTGTTGCCTTAAAAGTGACTGAAAGACATTGAGATGGCAAGTACGTACATGTACCTTCATTACAAAGGGATGTAGCATCGGTATCAACGGAAGAGCATACCGAAGAATCCTACAGATCTTACAGAGAAAAGATAAGAGAGTGGAAAGAAATACCTATGTAGATTGCTAGTAGGAAGCCATTGCAAGGTGATGCGCATTACATCATTGGTGGAAGGCAATGAAGAATCGCACGCAGCACACAGAGGAATTACTGAGCTATCACTAGCCTTGGTATGGTAATGAATCAATATCTCTTTCATTATGAAAGTGATCCTCTTGCCCTTGCTATTATGATAGGGGATGTTGCTGATGCCATGACTCATACGACCATTATTGTCAGTATTGGTATTAATGAATGCATGGTTGAAATCACCCAATCGTGATTAAGAGTTGTGCTTTCCATGATAATCAATCTCCAATGTACTGTTATTATAAACATGGCTCTAATTAATATCTTGCAAGTCACTATGAAGTCATTTTGTTGGTTTGAATATCATTATAAAAAAGAATATCATTATAAAAAAGAATATCATTATAAAAAAGAATAGAATATAAACTGTTTTTCTATGTAAAATGTGGAATAAATAAAACTTTAAAATCTTCAAACTTCATTATCACGACTTTATCATCATCTTCATCATCATCATCATCATCATCGTCGTCGTCGTCGTCGTTGTCGGCGTCATTAAATTATCATCATCATTGTCATTAATATCATCATCAGGATTGTTAGACTTGTCAATATCAGCAACAAAAATCAATTTGATAAATATCTGTTATGACCAAAAATATCTTCCTTATCATTAATCACAATGTTCTTCATGTCATTACATATCGGTAGCCTTTACATATATGAGTGTAATGCATTATTTCATCGCCATTCACATTATCACTGTTGTACTCAGCAGGAGAGCACTGTTTGGTATGAATGATATCTTTATAGGAATCTATCCAAGATTGATGTACCTCTACTCCAACAAACACATCATTGAAAATATTAAATGTTAATATATGGATGCCCACAGCTCAATGTGTAGCATTCTTCCCCCCTGTGATTTGTTCTTAGTAAAGCCTCTCTTGAAAATATTCAATTTTGAATGATAGGAAGTATTTGTTTTATACCATCTTTTTAACGAAGAGTTTATATTGCCAAGATCAATATTGATTTTTTGACTAGCCTGTTAAATGCAATTTGGTTTTGGTATTTTCCACAGACTCAAGCCTGAGCTATCCTGGACTTCATATTTAATTGAATGATTTGTGGGAATGCATGGATGTATAGAGTCACTACAGCTTTTGTTATGGTGCTGTAATCTACATTCTGTAAGCGATTGGAGCAATTGGGTGGACTGGAAGATATTTGTATAGGTGCATTTCACCAATCTGAATAGAGGCATAGAGATATTTTACAGCAGGATGTATAACCTTGAATTTTTAATTTGCAAAGTCAAGTAGAAAGACTATGTTTGAAAGATTCTTGCTCTTATGATAATACCAGATGAATTTCCTTAAATATCTTTTGAAATTAATTTCTCACCATGAGCTTTATCAATACATTGTGCTAATTTGCCAAATATTTTGTTACTCATGTACATGGTATCTTAACACAGTAGCCAAAATATTGCTAAAACATTTAATTTATTGTTTTGTATTTTTGCTTGTATTAGAATACCTCTTTTTTTACCTCCTGATTTATTGACCAATTACATTTTATGCTCTCACTTCTATATTTTTTGTATTGTTTTCTTATGTGGTGTTAATTCTATGTTTCGGCTGCTCATCATCTACCAATCAAGTAAGAAGAATGAATATACACTGTAGATGTGTAGCTATTGCCCTTTTTTAATTATTTTATTTTGCAAGGCACATAAATTATGCGATCAATTATGAAAGAGTTGTGGGATTATCTCAAAGAGATTTGAGAGAGAGAGGAATTCGCCCATCTAGATTGATTTATTAATTTGCATAAATCTCTATTTATGAGTACATGCATGCACTAGATGTTAGCCTCTTTAGACAGCTCTGTTTCTGTGCCTTCATACATTGTCTCTTGGATTGATAAATGTATAAAGTGTCTTGTTTTGTGACGTATGCTGTACATAATATATCATTGCAGCTTACCACTTGAAATACGTTATGGAAAGGGGGTGTCAAACTTTGAAAACAATTTGTGTGATGGGCCAACAGGGCTAAGAAGTCTACACTTGAAGGCAGTAATGTTGACAATCCCCCTCCTTTTATTGACATCCCCAATTGACAAACCTTTTAGTGTACTTCTTTGACCTTTAAACTGCGCCATCTTCATGCAAGAATCTTCGAGAAAAACTACATATAAAGTTTGATTTGAATAAAATAGAAATTTACCAGTATTCAGTCATTTTAGAATACAAAATTGAAGAACTTAGATGTGCTTGTATTTTCCCAAAGAAGTATCTGTGTCTTATTTGTAAACTGTAAAACATTTTTAATCAGTTTTTAAGCCTTGATATACGTGTAGACGTATCTCTCACAAATACAGACATCTATATATTTTCTTGTAAATGACACTTTTAGGTGTAAGTGACCTTTGCCTGATAGAGTTTTGTATAAGTGTATATCTTTTTTCCTTTTGATTCATAGGAAATAGGCAATAAACTTGGAAGTGTATACCGGTAGTCGAATACATTGTTTGTAGTATTAAAGTAGTTTTAATTTTGTAGTAATTCAAGTAATCATTTTTGAAGATGTCATTTTCATACTGTAGTGTAGTCACTTAAGAGCAATCAGAGGCATAAGTTGCTATCGCATAATATTTATTTTCATATATTTATATTTTATCAAAATTCCTTTCCCCTTTTTCTCTTTCTCTCTTGGATGCATTCTATTGTATGTGTAGCGATGGTGCCTCACTTTTGTTGTTGAATTGATTTATTGAATCATGTCGAGAAAAAGCCTTTCATAAAGTCACAACTACATGTATTTCTGTGATTTTAGATAGTGTACAGATTTGTTAAGACAAAACATGTGCAGTAGTGATAGGGCTAATACCCTATCTATGTGTGCGGCATTTTGTTGTATAACACACAGTTGACAATTTTAGAAGATAAATACGTTTTTTTCTTCTTCTTTATAAACCAGATACCGGTATTTTCTCAATGTGTGCTAGACATCTTTTGGCAAAAGGAACATTTGTCCCGTATGCTCATTACCACTCGTAAATTGCCAGAATTTTGTTTCTTGTTTTGTTTTGTGTAATTTCTGGAAAAACCTATTCAAAATTTTCCATTGACATTTGACACTTTGTTTGGAGTCAGAAGGCATCAACTGCTATCATTGTACAAGTATTAATGCCATTCTGGCTTCAAGCAGATGAGTTGCTGTCTAGTCTACTCCAGTACAACTTTCTTTGATACAGTCAAACCTGTCTATAGTGACCACCAAAGGGAAACACCCAAAATGTTTTAATGATATACCATTTTCAAGGGAAACAAAAAAAAATTGGTCTTTGTAGACAGGTGGTCACTAAAGCAGGTTTGACTGTATCATGTTGTCTGTATGGTAATTTATATTTTGATTATCATCACATCCTCTGTTGTCAGATTTGTGACTTCAAGTAGTTTTGAGCAGTGGAGTCTCAATTGATGCATTATTTCATTATATATTGCTCATTTTTATTATATTGTAAAATGATGTGTTACAAATAAGTGCAATATTTTCTGGATAGAATGAAAAGGTTAAGAATTTGTTCATGAGTAAATCGTTTTTTGTAGAATAGAAATATCTATTTATAGAAGCTGTAATGTTATTATTTGCTTTCTGGTGCTATGTATTACTCTGAGGATGTCTAAATATGACTTATGAAATCTGAAGAATAGTCAAGAAAAGTAATCAAATTCATTTATAGGTGACTTTACGATCTCTTGTGTATCTTAAAAAGGTTATCTTAAATTCTTTTTGCAAATGAAACATCAAATTGCTTTTTAAGAGAACTTTCGAAAAATTTGTTCTGTATTATTGATCAAGTATCATTTTTGCCAGCAAAAGGAAATTGTATAAAAAAAAACACACAGCAAAGGTCCAACACAGTTTGAGATGCGGGATTACATTATCTTTTCATGGCCCAATCTACCAAATTTCTTAAAGTTCATTTGGCAGATTCATGCAGCATTTATTTGTATTTTTAAAGTTCTAGAGTCATTGTTATAGACGTGGATAGATTACCAATTTGACATTCAACTTTTGTTCTGAGTGTCACTTCCACAGTAAAGTATCCATTGATCGTTTTCCCTGGTATTTTATGAGAACATGATTTTGCGTATGTGATTTTTACTCAATTGTGAACAAGATAATCATCATGACCTATTATGAATAAGGTAAATCTATCAACTCAGAAACATAACAGTAAACAGTGATAGTTCTAGTGTTGACCTCTCATCGACAGGTTGTGAAAGTTTTGGGTTTTACTCTGCTGCAAAAATTGTTATTTATGAGCAATTATATTCCCTGAAGATATATTCTCTGGTTTATGTATTTTGCTGCAACATTACTCAACTGCATTCATGTAAGTTATCTTATACTCCTATTTATACTTTGTTTGGGAAAGTAGCAATTATTGAGTAATATTTTGTATTCGCCCTTATTAAACATCAAACTGAGTCTGCAAAACCTTCAAATTTCACAGCGTTTGACTTTCATATAAAAAACGCAACCACTTTTAAAAATGCAGACTTGACTGAGTTTCCGGTATGCAGCCTCAACAAAAGTGCTAATGTGATGTCAAAACCAATTTATTTCTTAGTGACATTTCAGTCTTTTTTTATTGGTACCTTTTGATTAGCATTTCATGTCAGAGTTGATTTTGTAAGAGATTCTTTTATTTCTCTATGGAGAGTAGTGTCACTGGCATTGCATTGCTGATAGTAATACTTTTATAAGCTTTGTGCTATGGTTTGAGTTTGATGCAGACAATTTTACGTTTCCTTTTAACGAAGGCAAGTTTGTGTTCCTTTTGCAAACTCTGACGAGTTGCTTTGAATTGTATCGCATTATTTCAGTTGTCTCTAACACATTCATAAAATGTTTTTATTATGCCTATTTTTTATACTTCAAATGCAAATACCAGTTTGTTCATAAATGTACTTAAATCATTGATACTTTGGCTTCTTTTTGTTACCCTTAAAGGTAAAGACCAGTTCTGGTCATGCGATTGCATTGTGAAAGAAACGTTGTGGAATCGATCAGAAAAGGTTGATCATCTAGCATCTAGCATCTGCAAGGTTCTGGAATCATCAAAATGATAAGAAATTTGGCCCATTCTTCATAAAGTTACAAGCACTATACACAGAAAGATGTATATGGGACTACCCTATATCTCTCACAGACCATGAGAGAAACAAATTTACCAAATATATGAATTAGTAGGCGGTTTCCCGGCAAATTTTTTATCATCATGTATTAGTCAAAACATATTCTTTCACATGATTGGTAATGAGAGCTTCCATTTCATTTTTTGAAATTGGGGCGTTTCCAAT